AAAAACTTTTATCTTGAGGTGTCTGCAGTGGCACTGCACCTCAAGGGAGTCTCCCAGTTTTGGCTTGAGCAGCCAAGCAACGTGGGAGACATTGACTTGAAGCTTCACAAATATTTCCTCATCACCGACCCTGCCTACCTTGAATGAATGAATATGCAAGACAGATTGCTTGTTTATATTGTAATTTTCAGCATTTCAGCAGCAGATAGAAGGCTTTGAGTTGGAAGCCTTATATAGTAAATGATTCAATTATATTTGGCGACGACCTCAGGTGGATGAAAAATTTGCAAAGATGATTAGGTTCAGATGATCCAGATTCAACTCATGGAAAAAAGTGCACTCCCACAGCGGCCAGCTCTCAATAAAAAGGGGAGGCAGGCCGCCAGAAGAGGTAGCTAGTAGCTAGAGGTAGCTAGTAGAAGCTGAAGGTAGCTACTAAGTACCTTACTAGTACGCTCCTACCCAGGACGCAGGATAGCTCACGCTTCTTCAAGGAAGCTCCCCCGCCGCCCTAAAGGCGACGGGGGGAAGCTTCTTTGAAGAAGCGCTCGCACTATTCGTTTGGTTCCTAGATGCTTAGGGAAACTCAAGGTAACAAGAAGCTACTAGGGGCCCCTGGCCTTGCTACTAGGAGCAAGGACGCTACTAGGGGCTCCTGGCCTTACTGCCAGGAGCAAGAAGCATACTACTAGAGACTGAAATCAGCTCCACTGCTCGCCTTTGCATCATCGACTTTGATTCCTTCTCTGATCTCCCATTGTGCCAGCTTACGAGCGCCATCACGAATCGTGTCTTCCTAACAACAGAAAAAAGAACACACACACACAAAAAAAAAAACGGAAAAGTTAGAACAGACGTGCATAGGCACTATGTAAGCCTTTGAGCAGACTACTCAACTATATTCAGCTCGTCACAACAGCTGCCTCTACCTCTGCTTCTCTTGCTTTTTCAATGCGCATTCGAATCTCCTGAAGCAACCAGGCTGTGCCTTTCTACCTGGGACCGCCTTTACGTTGCAGTCTGGAGCTTTGCCTTTGCCTTATGAAGTTTTGCTTCAATGTCTGTGATGCACTTGGTACTAGTAGCTTCTAGATTCTAGCTACTACAGTAGTAGTATCGCCCTTGTTACTAGTATCGATGCACTTGTTACACAATTTAAAACACAACAATATTGATCAAAATTGTCGTTTCTCTCCCACCTTCAAATCTTGTTTCTTTAGCGCTTCACCAAGTTCCAGCCTTGAGACATCAACCATAATTGTGCGCAGCAAGTGCTTGGTTCTCGAAGAACTGGGACAATCAGATTCGCTCTTAACTTGGCACTCTCACACAGTGTTTCTAACTCGTTCGCTGCTGTTAGCTTGAATAAGTTCGTTCTTGTCCAGACTCGGCACCCAGCTCACAAACTAGGCGCCAGCCCAAGTTGATCTCTGTCTCCTCGATACACAATCTACAAAATGATGGTCTGTGACGTGCTGCCAAATCGAAACATGGTAAAGGCCACTGGGACAGTGACGAAATTAATCACGGAAAATTTACCAAAAATAGAAACAGTATATAGTCGTATCAGAAAAGGAAAAAGTACTCTTTTCACCCATCCTGCACTGAGGCAGCCTTTGCCGCTGGCACAAGTTTCAAGAGCAGGTCAAGGTCACGGGCCTCAGCACTCAACGACTCGACGACTCCACACCGAGCAGGTCAAAAGAACTTGAAACAATGCAAGGACCTCATGAATCAGGGTCTTGTTGATGGGGCCCTTGCCGCCTTGCCCTTTGTGCGATCTTGTTGTTCTTGATGTTAAAAACAAACAAAAACATCGCATATGTCCAACTCCCCAGACATGCCTCCATCGCATCGATCATCTCCAGAAAGGCGAGCCGAGTGTATGCCTTTTGGGCACAGCTGGGCAGAGCTGAGCGCAGTGCACAGCTGACAAAAAGCATTTGGCGATAAAGTAACAATTTCTTGGAAATGCCTCCGAAACTGAAGTGGCAGCATCTTGCTCTGATTGCTTTGAAGGTGCCTGCAAATGAAAAAACTGCCTTCCGAGCACCCCCAACACAAATCACAAGTCAACACCTGGCCTGTTCACCTGAATCGTGTAGTTCTTGCTTTGAGACGCCTGCTTCGGGCTCTGGTGCCACCACATCCTGCTCTGAACATCTGCTGTGCGCAATCGCTCCAAGTTACTATATACTATATGGGCAGGCAAACCAAGTGAACGTGCCCTCCTGGGCACAAGCATGTGTGGTTTGCTGGAGATCAAAAGTTTGCCTGTGTTTCCCCTTCCTTCCGAGCCTTTCAAACTGAGCATGAAACGTAAAACTGCATGCAATGCATGGTCAAGTTAGAAACAACTCTCTCACAGTAGTTGGCCCCAATCTCAATATGAACGACAATTTCTCTTTCCAGTTGTCTCACAATCGCAGCCCATGCAGCCCCTGGAAGCCTGAACGAGGACAGACCAAAGGGCATCGGGTTTTTGAGGCCGAAAATACAAATGAAATGAAGAGAGCCTGACAAAACCAAATGAGGAACCTAACTTCTCGTCCGGATAATCGTCTCCCAAGGCTAAAGCCGCGCAAAGGAAATGTGTCCAATGACACTTAAAGAGTTCAATCAGCAAACCAAAACTGATGGAAGTCGAAGAAACCTAAAAAACCCTGCCTAGCAAAGGTGTTGACTGTGAGAAATGTACTGCGAGATCCCTGGAGTGTATTCAAACAAGCAACGCATTGAAGAACCTCATGCGACCACCACCACCACCACCACCACCAACAACAACAACAACAACATAGAAATGACAAAGCACCCTCCTCACAATGTGAACAATCTGTAATGGTGGCTGGGGGAGCATGATGCCGTGCCCAGTTTGAGATCAACTTCCGCGGCCGTTCACATATGTCATCGCATGTTTGCCACTGCGATCACAGCATGGCAAAGAAGCAAACTTGATGCATCACCGACCATGAAGCTGCTCCAAGCTCAGGCTCTGCGGAGACACTCGACTTGGGCATGAAGCCAAGCTGTGAAGGATGGGTAATGTGCTCGCAAACGCTGCCGCGCAGCAATTGTTTATCTAGGAAATGTATTTTCCTCGTGTGAGGGTCGGAGAGAAATGAGCGACGGCAAAACCTGCCAGCAAACTACGGGTCTTCTGCATGCGTTTATCGATTTTTGATGATTTTGGCGGTTTACAGGTTCTTGATATCCTTTTCAATTGTTCTCATGCGTGTAAGACTTTGTGTACAAGCAGAAACTGACACTGGCAGGTGCAATGGCCCCAGCATAGCTCAACTCCAAGAAGGCCATAACACATTCACAACCTTGAAAGTGTAGTAAGTATTGAACAGAAAAACATACTGTATCATAGTTCAAGTTATCGTTTTTCGTAGTTCATTATAAATTATATCGTTTTAGAGCGTTTGGAGCAATCTACATCATAGAAAGACCCCTCGAAGAGTAAACTCTTACATGAACCGACCCTTTTGCCTGTTGCTCAAATAGTAATAGGTGGGTGAGAAATAGTGATGCAATGTGGATGGTATAATGGGGCACCTATGTAAGTTAGACAAGAGTGTCTCCCCAGAGCCTGAGCTTGGAGCAGCTTCGGCGATGCATCAAGTTTGCTTCTTTGCCATGCTGTGATTGCAGTGGCAAAAATGCGATGACGTATGTGAACGGCCGCGGAAGTTGATCTCAAACTGGGCACGGCATCATGCTTCCCCAGCCACCGTTACAGATTTTTCACATTGTGAGGGTGTTTTGTCATTCTTATTTTAGTTAGTTAGTTAGTTGGTTGGTTGGTTAGTTAGTTAGCTAGCTAGTTAGTTAGTTAGTTGGTTGCTAGTTGCTAGTTGTTAGTTGTAGTAGTAGTAGTAGTTGTTGTTGTTGTTGTAGTTGGTGTTGTAGTTGTAGTAGTTGTTGTTGTTGTAGTTAGTTAGTTTGTTTGTTTGTTAGTTTGTTTGTTAGTTGCTCGAGTGGTCAGAACTCGAGCATGCCCTCAAGGACGACTGGACATGACCTTCCGTGAGCACCAGCAGGTGACACTGGGAAGCAGCTTGCTGGGCGTTGCCCTGCGATTGGTGGCAATTTCGATTTGCAGTGGTTCGGTGGCTGTTTTGGAACACCCTGAAAAGGATGAGCACAATGAACAGGCGGCATCAATTTGGCGCCTGCCGATTGTCAGAACCTTTCACCGCTTCTCGAATTGCTTGAGTGCCCGCCTGCTGCAAGGCCATTATGGAGGCAAGACTCCCAAGCCTACACGTTTGCTTTTTACAAATGTTACGCCGCAGATCGAGGAGATCATTGTGCGAGGCCGATGTTCCGCTCTGCCGAAGCGCATTGCGGTGGGTCGAAAGTGCGATGGATCCTGGGCCACCACGGAATTGAAGGAATATCCGGGTGGACTCTGCAAGATGTTGGGAGAGGTGTTTGAAAAATCCCTCCCTGCTGTCGGAAATAAAGCCCTGCCTCCTGAATTTTGTGAGTTTGTACAGGAGCTCATGGCGGAGTTTGACTTTGCTGCATCACAGGGGCAGGACTTTAATCCAGCAACGGCCTTGAATCTTAATTAGGTGCATAGCGGCCACGGAAGAGACACTTTCTTCGGCACTCGCAAAGGCAAAAAAGGTTTGTTTGTTAGTTAGTTAGCTTGTTTGTTGTTATTGTTGTTGTTGCTGTTCTTGTAGTTAGTTAGTTAGTTAGTTAGTTAGTTAGTTAGTTAGTTGGTTAGTTGGTTAGTTGGTTAGTTGGTTAGTTGGTTAGTTGGTTGGTTGGTTGGTTGGTTGGTTGGTTGGTTGGTTGGTTGGTTGGTTGGTTGGTTGGTTGGTTGGTTGGCGGCGGCGATCATGGCTGCAATGGGTGGTGGTGGAGAGATTTGCGGTGGCGGCTGCTGGTCTTGGTGACTCAGGGCGGCTGCTGTGTCGATCATCATTCCAACCCAACAACTGTTTGCAAACTACTTAGTTAGAGCATCTGTTGAATCTGTTGCTATCCTTGTTGAAGCAACGAAGAAAAACATAATTAACCCAGCTGGGGAGACCCCCATTCAAACCAGGACACGTGACGTGACTGACATGCAGTCGCTTGAAAAAAGACAACTACGTTCCGGAACTCCAGGATCGTCCACTCAAACACATATCATAGGCAGTCACAGGCTTGACAGAGATCACACAAAGCAGCACCAGTCAATAGAAACTGGCCAGGGCACCGTCACAACATGACCAAGACACCATCACAATACGACCGGGACACCATCACAACTTGACCAAGACACCATCACAATAGGAC